TTAGGCGGATTTTTTGGGTGCCATCTCCCAATTGTTACCGATCATATCGGTTTTCCCTTGGCGCGTCCGGAGTCTGTCTTACGTTTCTAGAATAAGTCCGTTTCGGTTGAAGATTCAGGCGGTTGGGAACGCGAGTAAGAATTTTGCCGACAGTACTGATGCATATGTGCAGGTGATTGTTGCACACTTGTCGGTTTCCGTTGCGTTTTTAGAGATGACCAAAAGCCAGGTCTTTGACGTCTTTCGGGATTTTCTCTGCTTACCTTGTCTGTGGAATGGGGCTTCTGTGGTGGTCCTGTTCGCACATGTCATATGAGGCGGAATCTTCTCAGAGGGGATACTATTGATTTATCCGTTGTTTTCGCCACTTCAACCCTGGTGACTCCGGTGAACGGGTCAACGTACTCGCGTAGTAGTATGTATGGCGCCTTACAGTCTTTCCCATACACTCTTCCGCCTTCAGGACTTGCATTTGCCCTAGATTGGTATTCATGTAACATTCAGTCGTGTCTAGTACTATTTTGCCTAACTTTGCCTTCCCACGCAGCCGTCGCGGCGGTCAGACATGTCGCCTTATCCTCTCGATAGCCAGACTGCCATGGCTAGACGGCCAGCGCCGCACTTCACCGTTTGCCAGTAGTTTGTATCCGGTTGATTACGCCTCCTGATAAGCGCGCAATCTATCAGTTGCCAGTAGCACGAGCAAAACGCACCCACGTTGTCGTATTGTGGTTGCGAAAACGAAATAAGCTGGTATTATGGAGGCTGTTTTCACAGAGCTTCCAGTAGGAGTCTGTTGTTGCGGGGCAAAAATCTCCCTCTCAGGTTGTGCGATCTTTGTCTTCTCATGAATAAAAGTCGCCAGGAGCAATCAGTTCGGGGGATACCAGACAAGTCCTCCTCCTAAGTAACCAGCCGTCGGGTTTGCTAAAAGACGGTAACCATTATTAGTTGCCAGAGCGACCGAAAAGAGGTCGGCGGCGATTGGTATCACTGCTTTTGTTTTTTTGACCGCTTGTATTACACCAAGCAGTCACATTCTGGTCTGTAAAGTCCACAAACTATGTATTTTAGGGCACAAGTCCCCGTACTGTGAAGGTATGCACAGTGTGTCTTCCCATAGGCCTGTCTACAAAACACATGCGCCTGTCGCATGAAAACGCGACCCACATTTCCCGAGCCGCCTACGGGATCGCCGCTGTACCTGACCGCCGAATTCAGGTTGTCGCTAAGATAGTCTGAAAGCCCCTGTCCAAAGTGTGCCACAAACTCGTCCAGATCTCGCATAATTCGGGTTTGTCATGAAGACCATATTAAGGAGTCACTGCAGCCTGGCCCTCAGTCCGCAGAGGGCGAGCGACTTAGCGTCTCAGTTGGCAACCTTCCAAGCCACGACTTTCAGCTCGTCGTAGTGGTTTAACAGCACATCACAGCTTTAGCGTAAAGGGGAAATAGGCGTTAGATCGACGTACATCCCGTCTCCCGGCGGCAAGTTCGAGCCGTGCCACCTTAATCGGATAATGGCTGACCCAGCACAAAGCTTCCGCTTGCTAGTGTCATAAAAAAACGTTTGATTCCTGATGACTGCACGGAGCAGACTGCGTATGCAGAGTTGCCGGGTTGGAGGACACGCATCGTGTGTTTGGCTTGGCACAAAGCCCCCCCCCCACACATGCCACGAACGCGGACGCTCTTCCCCCCCCCCCCCTCAACTGTAGAAACCTGACTACATGCTGTATTCCGCGGATGTAAAAGCCGCTAGCTGCCCTCGAATTTAGTCGACTAGCCGTACCGACCAAACAAGAGCTGCATACCATCACGTGCAGCGAGGCACGTTGCGCGACGAGTCGTTCTAAGGTGTGTCCCACTCCCTGGCCCCTCGGGCACCGATGTACACTAGGTTCGGAGATTATATCTGCTACTGGAGAAAGCCAGAGGAGTCGATAGTTGGTTCATCTCCTCTACCGACTACTTCCACATGTACCTCATTCCATGAACCGAAAACTTTCTGAAAGTCGCCTACTTTTTACATCTATAGTGAAGCGTACGTGAATGAAGAGCGGGGTTAGGTCTGAAAAATTGCCTTTACACTATCAGTACTGTTAAATATCCTGCCCATGGCCTTCTCACTGCAAACGGTGGAAGTTTGATTCTTTACACTCGTGGTGGGCATGACAGGTAACCAAGCGAGCCACAATAAACTCGTTCCGTCACATCTGATAAAATTCTGTTCGACAAAGTTATGTTCCCTCGCCAACTGCTCTTGCTGCTTGTGTTCAGCGTGTATACTCATACTCCTGTAATTTACTTATGGAATGAATTGCGGTCGAAAAAGCGGTTGCTTTCATACACTACCGGAATTCGCGCACCTCATGCAATGCTAGAGGCATCTGGCGCTGTGTGAAAGCCTAACTCTCATTCGGACTGTCAGGACACTTCAAATTCGACGGACGAACCAGTCTGGTTTGCACGCGGAGGCTGTTCTTCAGCATAAAGAACTGTTGTCGAGGGCAACGTGTTCCATTCATTTGTTCAGGCTTCTTAAAAAGACCGCTGATTACTGCGTCACTGCCAACTCCAATCGTTGGAAGCCGGTACCGAGTTTCATTCAGAACGCTAGGTGTTTGGTGAGATTTTTCTGAGACTGTTAGTTTAATTACCCTACCTAGGTTTATGAAAAATGGACGTTTCGCCTAAGTTGACTCGTCCGCACGAGAACTTCCAACCAGGAAAGTGCAAACTGGATAACTTTATCCAACCTAGCCTAGAAGCCTCTGCTAAATTGTGATACGATTCCCAGCATCTGAGTCATTCTTATTTCTTGCCCTGCAGCACCAGCGAACTGGCTGAGATGTTCGACGTTTACGGCGGCGACCCCGTCACCGTTGAGTATGTTCTGTCGCTGCTGACTTTTGTGGAGTCCGTCGGACCATGGGCGCGGCGTGAGATTACGAAGAAACTCGATGTCGCGACATCAGGCCTTCACTCCCAAATGCTGGCATCCTTCCTGGCCGCAAAGAAGACCTCTGCCGAATCCACGAATTGGATGTCAACTGCTGGTCTAACTGTCAGTTTGTCATTACTTTGCACTAGTCATAATAGTTTTCGACCTTTCACGTTTCTCCACTAGTCACACGCATGCGTCGCCCCTTCATGGTCCGTCTTCCGTTCATTTCCAGGAACTAGTCACGTCCTACAAAGCTTTTATGGGCTAGTGGTATGCCTGGAAATATGGACACAATAGACACGAATTTTTTAAAAAAAAACGCATATCTACTGCAGTTTGCTGACACCTGTAAATATGACCTGTTTCCGTCTGGGAACACCTTTTTTCCAGTCGAGCCTTCCTTGCTAATGCCAATGTCGGGAGACAGTTTACGCTGGTCCTGTCCTCGGCAGGCGCACTTGAATTCACAAATTAAGCCTGTTTGCTTTCAATAAACAGGCTGTGTAGCAAGTCGAGAACTGCAGTGAAGTACCTACATGCCAATTTTCGCATACCTTGACGGCCGTCTGGCCGTCGTCGCCGCAGTCTACAGCGCTAATCTTCCGTGCTCAAGTTCTCACGCTCCTCCCCTTCGCTTTTCAGATCGATCCGCCCAAACCAGTTACCCCACCAGCACCCAAGATGACATGCATCAACGACAACGAGACTCCTACTACCCAGCCCGTCGCCGTTTCTTGTCCCCCCGACTCGAAAGCTGCTTCCACAGCGGTCATCCAACCCCTTTCTAACACCCACACAGTCCTTCACACTCGACAGACAGCAACTGTGTTACCTCTTCAACGTAGTGGACAGGCCGATTCGTCACAAGGGGACAACCATCACTCTGTTGCTGTCCCTGAAACTGCGTCTACGCAGTCGGACGCTGGCCCCGGCATAAGCAGCGTCCAGCTAGTCGAATCGAAGTCGCCGACCACGTGCAGCTCCAACGCAGTAACAGCAGATCCAGTGCAAGACAGCAGCGCCCCACAGTCCACCACCTCACTCTTGATGCCGTCTGCGGTTTGCACCGTGAGTGTGTCAGCTCCATCGACTGTGTTGGTTGTTAATTGTCCTTCACAGGCAGGCCATGAGAGTGATGCCGAATGCACTGGCCGCCCACCGACCCTACCGTCGGTTACTTCCGCGGACGCGCAGCATGAAAGTTCGGACCGGACAGGACCCTTTTTAGTCTCTTGTTCCGATAATGAGAAGGACGCTGTGGCCGAGACACCGCAGACTAAACGTTGCTGCAGCTCAGCACCTGCCGATTCCTTCACGACGAATCCTGCGGATGATCATCCCAGTCAGCCGGAGTCTTTATTGTTGTGCCCTACATCGCCTTGCCCACGCGTGGATCATACCGAACAACTGCAGACGCATACTGTCCACCCAGCCACCGATTGTCAAGAGGTTGCAGTCACCTCAGACCAGCCCCTTGTCCTCGAAAGGTGTTTGCAACCAGTGGGAACAGAGGAAGGCCCCACAAAAGGCAACGAACAGACAGCTGAGAAGGGTAAATCGCTAGCTGTTCAAGGGCAAGACGCACTACTAAACAACAGTAATGTTAACCAGTCTGCTGTCGTGCTTCCCAGACCCGCAAGCGCACAAAATTTTACGATTATAGGGGAGCCTGAGGGAGAAGACCAAGGGAATGGACTCAGTGGAAACCGCGAGCGGAGTGTGTCGGCGCCGCCATCTCTAATCGGCGAAGTCGACAAGCAGTACTTTGTGCCTGTATTAACAGATCCGAACTAACATGCTGCTTTGTATGAAATTTTTATCACTGTCCATTTACTTTCAAGGAAAATCTGATGACAAACGTGAAAAAAATTGTATACAGCAAAAATCATGAAGGTTTTGGCCCCCTGATGACGGCGAATGGGAGTCTCGGGTCACTCTGGAAACGGCGTTCACAGGTACTGACGACGCAGCCGTTTGGAAGTTTTCTGCTCCGACTTTACTAATCATCAAGCTTGTACAACTTGCATGTTATCATAGGACGAGTCGTCTACGGTCATGGTGTAATTTTTGCTTGATCCCGATTAGTGTGAGCAGGGGGTGAGTTGTCGTCGTCTGAGCAGGCGGTCGGGACACTAAGGAGGAAAGAAGGTATTATGGTCAGGTCAGAAGCACGCGAGTTTGTTAGAGACTAACCAAAGTCGAAAACGCACATTTTCAACTATCCATCGTCAGACCTGTACAATAATACATTTTGAGGTAGGGCAGAGAAAGGCGAAAAACAAAAAATGAACAAGGGTGATGTGGGAGGAGGAGGTAAGTTCTACCTCCGTCGGGGGGTGCGTTTTGGTGGTGAGACAAGTGAATTCAGAAGAGACGCGCGGCACTGCGGAAAGTGAAAGACCAAGCTTCTCCTGATGAACAACGATTTGAGTGTTTTAGTCCCATCGGCACAAGTCTTTGTGGCCTGTCACAGATTCACAAGCGTAGTCTCACTACGCGACCGATGCTGGACATCCGTGATTTACCATATTGCCCAACTGCAAAGTGGCCGGCCGAAGTGTGAAATGGAGCCATGCAGCCAAATGGCATTGTAATTCGTAAATTCCATGACAAACCCGAATCTTATTCGGTAAATAAAGTCTCTAGATACATCGTCTTTAGTTGTTAGTGTTCTCCTTGCGGACATGATAGAATATTTATGTCACAACACTGCTAAATCGGGTTTTCGGACACCGACTGGAACCCTAGTGGAGCTGCTCCTTCGCTGTACGCACAATTCAGCCTTGATAGCCAGTTTTACCGCCAGGACGACGTAGCGATAGCACAACCATCCGGACCCCTACTAGTTGGTGTTTCAATGGGAAAACTCGAGAAAAACTAACTTCGATTACAGAGCTCCTAGTTCTGATAGGTTAATGGTATTTACGTCTCACCCGTTGAGAGGCTTGATTTCGATATTCTCCCAAAAAAACAAATCATTCATCCAGGGTTAAATTCCACTTGCAGGAAGATGGGGACGACAGAATTAACTCTTTCTGGACGCCCTACGAAACAGGATACCTATGGGAATCGAGATGTGTATCCTGTGAGAAAGCGTGGATGAGAAAGTACACAAATCCACATCTGAAAAGGAACTTAGTTTGCTGTCTAGCCGACCGAGTTTGGAAGATCTGCTCTGTAGATATCCTGAAAAAATGAACTCGCCTACATACAAATGCCCAGCGGGAAAATGGTTTCCCCGAGATGCTTATCACATGATATATGGAAGAACGTCTGGTAGTAACGAAGTCGCCGACGGCTAAAATAATTAACTGTTCCTAAATTGTTTCAAGATTTGACCGGCGGACTTACGTCGTCTGCATTCTGCTATTTTGCACACGTACCGAATGGGCAAGTTACTATTAGTTTTCTCAAAGCTGTCCCCTCTTCGCCCGTAAGGTAAGAATAGGTCACCTTTTCAGGCCTTCATATACTGTCGAACGACTAGACACCTATCCAAGCGGATATAAGGCTACCATCGTGCTTGGACCAATTAAACTATGCTCAAGTCCACCTCTAACACAACTGTGGCTCACGGACTTGACAACGCCCACCGAGTGGACGTCAACCAAACTTTCTGAGTCATCTGCAGGGTGCCGGTGAAACACCCCAAATTCCTGCGTCAATGGGTTCTTGCAACAGCATGGGTGGTAACCGTGTGGCTAGTCGATCCGGTCTTATCCTTACAGAAGGCGTTCACGCAAGCCCCTCAGCGAGTCCGGCCTAACATGGATTCCACACATTTCTGTCAACATCGTAGCACGTTGCATCAGAGTAGCAGCAGCCTCCTTCGTAGTCCCTCTCCTTGTTTTCGCATGCCCGGATGACCCAAGCCCACGCCGTATCATCCTTATCCATCGGTTGCTTTTCACCCTTCGCTGTCATTACCTAACGCATATTATGATGCAGACCGAATAATGCGCGTTTGAAGACGTGCGCTTACGGACTTCAACTTCTTAAAATCATCTGCATTTTATACACGGCCTTTGGGCTCCCCTGTCTTGCTGTCAATCTCGTGTTGTCAAGGTCGAAACCAACTTCTAATCTAGCACCAGACAGTTGGATTATGAGCTTCCGTCGAGTTCGTGATATGTTGGAACGGAGTACCAGTGAAATTTTGGACAAGGTTGTCGCATAAATATGAGTGTTTGGAGCACGCGCTTTCCTATGATTGCCTGGTCCTAAGCAAGGTCCCTTTCCATCAAGCAAGATCCCCTTCCACCAAGATCGTAGAGGATCACGCCTTCCAGGTTTCAGACAATCTGCTTCTACGTCCTGATAAGGAAGAAATAACCAGCGATGTTGGAATTACAGCAGCGGAATGGAGGGTATATGAAGGACAACGACAGTGTCAAATACCTACGGAATCAGCACTGGGATGTTGTTTCAAAACTTGACTGAACCGGCGACGATTATGTGAATAAAGTGGACAAACCCCATTGCTTCCGAAACGCAACCCAATCTTTTTTGTGAATATATGGTGTAAAAATTACGCTTGATGGTTCGACGATCGTTTAGGAGTACTGCTACACAGACATAAACAACCTCTACACATACCCAAACTGCCTATGAGCATGTACAATGAAGTCTGGAATTAACCAGTCCAGTTGTGATCGCACATTCCTATTGCGCAAAAACCTCATCGTACACCTGCGAATGCATGGAAATACAGATAGAAAAGTACGACCAGAAGCCCCAACCAACACGCCTGATCCGCCTTATCTGCCCATTGCAAGAGCCTATTTGGTCATATGCGAGTATACACTAACACATCACCCATCACCCATACAACAAGCATGCCATGGAGCTTGCCAATGTGGGCATTGGCAGACAACGTATCATAAATACGGATGTTTTGGTGACATGCGTTAAACAGGACCTTCAAGCAACGTCAATCGCCGTTCCCCATCTCATTCCTAGTCAGCATGACCCGGACAGGTCAGTGACCAAGAGAAAGAGGTCAATGAATATCAGATTCAGCGTTTAATTTCCCCGCTATCAAACACGCCAACAGTTCAAGGCTGTCAACTGACCGGGAAACACTTGTAGGCAGGATTAAGGACTAGGCCGCAATGGCTCTCTCCCAATATGGTTTTCATTGCACTCACTTATGTAAGGTTCGAAACTCTCCGCATTAAAGAGTGGTCCGTATGGAGTCAGGAATTAGCATACCCGTGGTACGCGTCAATTTTTTTTTTAGCTTTGTCAGCCACTGCGCTCGCGCTTATCTCCAGTCACGTGGGTGGGGCAGGAAGATGGTTAAGTATGCTGACTAGTGTGATTGGCCGGCAGGGACATTCTATCCTTCATTTAGTTTGTTACGACACTCTTCACTGAAGATCATGCAAGCTCGGATGGGAAAAAAGAAATTGGGTGAAGAGGTTGTAACAACGGTTTGAAGGGCGAATAGTTCTTCGTAACTAGTCAGTGGAGCTTGGTCGGCTAGAGTGCGACTGAGACTTCACGATTCCCACCATTGTTGTCAAAAGATCCTGCAAGTTATTGAATTCTGAGCTAGGACAGCAGTGTTCTAATCCCCATTTGAAATCACCAGAAACGCCTATAGCAGACCAACTGACAGATGGATAGTTTAATGGGCAGTGTTTTTACCCCGCAAATGATGGAGATGGAATCCACTTCACTAGTTCACCGCGAAGTAGAGCCAATGACTATGGAGACTCAGCAGAAAGGTGGAGGCGGGGTAGCGATACGTTCATATGAGGAGAGTAAAGTGGGAATTTCGTAAATGGCAGAGCTGCATAGCAAAGCATGCCTACTGATGTGAAAAACTTAAAGTATCACAAACCTTCCCTAAAAGTGCTAGCGCTGCATGAGAGTTGACCCCAAATACGTCCACAAATTGAATTGGCAGTTTGACGTGTGATGAGAAAGGAACTCACGTAAATTCAATCGACGGAGACTTTGACACCCTTTGAAGATAGCTCGGGCATCAATGAACATAGACGTCCATACAAACGCTCAAAGTATCGGACTCTAGATAATCTTGCATGTGCTGATTCCCATCGAGAGCAGTTTATGTATTCCGCGAGGAGGTTCATTTCCTCCGTGCGCCGCTGGATGATATGCGCACAGAGGGCTTCCAGATCCTTTACAAAGCCTTCATTATGCGTATCTGACTTGGCGACCAACGTCATTTCTTCCAGCTTCTCACTGAGCTCCATTATCTCAATGAGAAAGTCTTTATCGACAGATTCTGCCTCTTTCTCAGGAGTAGAGCCTCCTTGAAGGGATAGGATATATTCCGCTCGAGAGATGGGGTCGACGAGGATTTTATACGCTTCATTTATCTTGGCAGAGAGATCGGCAGCTATGACTTGCTCATCCTTTGAAAGAAAAAGAAATGTACATAGGCAAAAACAGTAAGGAGAAAAGGTTACCTTGACTAGACGCGTAAGGCGGTCTGGATGAAAAGCTTTTTGCAGGGAACGCTTCTTGCGCGTCAACTCTTGCGTATCAATATCCATTTTGGGTTCCGATAATCCGAAGATGTTAAAGAAGTTCCAGTGTGGATTAAGTTTCTGGACTTTCCCACATTCACAGAAGAAGTTCTGGCAGTCTACCGGTCGTGAACAATTCCAACAAATGCGACCGCAGTCACGCTTTGGGGGAGATGCGCACGAAAAATACCGATGATGGTAAGAATTAATGTCCTGCATGACCATTGGAGGATGGAAAATGGGTCTCGTGGACTGCACTATTCCTCTCCTTAAGAATGACATCGTAAAGAGGAAAGACTAAGACGACTGCGAAACGAGCCAGCCTGGATAAAAGAAAAATAACAAACTTGACATGGATGGAGTAATATAATGCACGAACAGACGATAGGATAGCAAAAAAAGTACTTAAAAAACAGTCAGGTTCAGTAAGACTGTTAGGACCTACTTGAAAGAGTAGTCTAGCTATAGGAAAAACTGAAGACGTCCAGAAGGAGCCCAATTTGGTATTCGTTGCTGGCTAAGAGAGTAGTTCACGCCCTCCAAATCCACTTGTCCTGATCGTCGAGCGTGGAGAGGTAATACGTGTGACATAATAGAGGTCTGCGGTTCAGGAGATTAACAGTTCCCATCGGTCTACTGCAAACCGTGCTGTCTGGGTGTGGCTTGCAATATAAGCAGACACGCACCCATGAGAGTACACTTA